CGGAAGAGGTAGCCGATCTATCGGAGGAGACGACAGACCATGAAGAGATTGATTCGGAAGAGGTAGCCGATCCATCGGAGGAGGCGACAGACTATGAAGGGATTGATTCGGAAGAGGATATGTAAGAGATTGACACTCAAAAAGGCTCATCATGCATCTTTTGAAGCTTTAGCTATTTACCTCTTATGGGCCGGTTTCATTAACGTCGATTAACACACTGTAACCTTTTTGATATTTTTAACTAATAAAAGATTGACAGAACGTTTGAAATATGCATGTCACGCCATACCCTTATCAATAAATATTTAAGTTCCTCGTAAAAATGTAATTAAGCGATCGTTATCGAGATTTCATTCGTACCTCGAAAGCGCGATAAAGATTGCCTATAAATATTTCTGTATACATACATTTCGCATTTAATGGGCCTAAATGGACTCTCGATGGCCGTCGATATATATATCAAGCGTTTCCTCGGCAACGAGAAAGCAAACTTGGCATGGCGAGAACGAATACAATAACTTACCGTGACTCACTTCAAAATCAAGGTACTCGCCTCTCGTTGCCTCGTGAATAATTGAAATTTACAAGTGATGTACATCGAGCTAACAGCAGAGAGTTTGTTAGCTAAATTTAGCGACTGAACATAAAAGGGATCTAAAGGAAAAGAAAAAGATGAAAAATGCTCTCCTCGAAAGCGAACGCGGCACTGGCGCGCCTGAAAGAGATCGAGGAGAAATACAAGACGAAACGCAAGGAGCAGAAATGGAAAGAGGTGAATATTCCAAAGAAAAGAAAACAAAATAGCCTGTGGGAGTCCAGTCTGTAAAATAAATTTTCTAGTGTTAAAAAATTAATATTAAATTTATGATATTGTAAAGAAAAATTGAATATTTTTAAATCCGCTAATGTAGTTTAGCTGCATTTTATATTTTTATGATGTACAATACATATTTCTTCATTTCTATGTCCCATTATTTAAAATTATAATTTTCCCAGACGCTAAAGAAAAATCAAATAATTTTAAATCGCTATTGTAGTTTACTGCATTTTACATTTTTGTTATATACAATATATATTTTTATTTCTAACATTCTGTGTAACATCCTGTCATTTAATTCTAATATTTCAGAGAGATAATTGGATTGTAATTAAACTTTTTGAAAAGAAAGTGGCAGTGGTTGTGACATTAAAGTAATACTCTGTAATTCTAGGACTCGGACAGCTCGATAAGCAGCGTTTCCATAGTTCCTTCGGAGAATCCCTCGGCGGAATCACCGAGGAAAGCCATGAGGTCTAAGATCAACATAAAAATGCCGGATACTCGATTCGAAGGACACCCGGAGGAAACGAAACTTTCGTCGAGGAGTGAGAGATTGACGCCGGACAAAGCAGACGCGTTTAGACCTGCCGAAGACGTCGCCAAGATCGATCTTGATGTCGCAGTGCCATTAGACGATAAATCGCCGCGTTCCGCAGGAAAGCATGAAAGTCTTACCTCGGACATAATGACAATTCAGGAGAACAGTTTGATCGAAAGCGTACTCGATGACTCGGTGACTCCGTCAAAATCACTGTCGCGCTCGAAAACGTCGCGGCGAAACTCTTCCACGGTCAGCGACAGGTCTTCCGGACGCGAGGTGAGAACGAGAACGGCCGCGAGGTCCGAGGGAAGAAGGGAATCCGTCAAATCATCTGAAATCTCGAGGGGGAAAGCGCCGTCTGACAATTCGTCGATCGCGAAGCGCTTGAGATTGTCTGGAAAATCGAACGAGAAAATTTCCATGGTACGCCTCGACCTGAAAAAGCATTCGATCGAGGATAAAACGATCACGAAAACTCCGAAAGAGGTGGATTCCAAAGTTCAAGACGATACGAACGATACGGGATCTTTGCGCGACGATGGCGTTGTCGAGGAGTCGATCAGCACGATGGAGAACGGCAGTGAAATTATTTCGGAACTTTCCCGCGCCGAAGAAAATTCTAAAATTGGAGACTCCGTTCTCGAAGACTCTAAACGTCCAACAGATGGAAACGATTCTGTGACAGCTTCAAACAGTTTGAGAGGTCTGATGGCTGAAAGCGGATATGCAAATGATACTTTCGAGGACATTTCAAGCTCGACCATTCTATCACAGCGCGAGAAAATGATTAATAGAAAGAAAGAAGTGGTCGATGCAGTGGGATCTAGCGAGAAGAAAATCGACATTGTAGAACAGGTCGACAGGTCTTATCAAGACAATAATAAGGAGCACAGGTAGTTTAACATATTATTATTTACCAATTACTTTCTCAATAAATATCTTCCGTAAATATATTAATTTTTATTATGATTATATATACATTAACGAACTTTATTATTTCAATAATAATAACAAAGACAATGAATAAGAACAATTAATGTCTATTGCCAATTTTAACAACTTAATTTTATTTCTATAGAAATTAAAATATAATTAATTAAATATAATTAATTAAGTCTGCAAATATGATTGATTCTCGAAACATATTGTTATACATAAGTTTGTAGAGTGCTTTAATTTAACAGCGGAAAAAGTTTGAACAGCTCATGGCATATGCCGTGAGTTATCAGTGATTTATTATCACAAATATGACCGTCGATATTTTTGAAACGACCAAACCTTTATCAACGTAAAAATAATTTTGCGGAATGTTTTATTCGGCCGTAGGGACGGGCTAGTCATCACACTCAATC